TCAACGCTGCAATCTGTCACTTCTGTGCACTGATTATTAAATAGTTCATAATGGTTTGCTCTACCAGAATGAAATTTAAGCCGTTATTCACAGATAAACCTCAGCTAATCCTCACATTCAATTAAACAAAATCACTGTCAAACCAAAGTGACACCAGTTGAAAAATCAAAGATGACAAATCAAAGCTTTTAAGCTTGTCATAGTATAAATTGTGTGTACAATTTGCACTTATAATAAAATAATAATAATAAGATTAAATATTCATACTTGTCGGTATGAATTGAGTATACAATTTATACTCATAATTCACAATAATAATAATAATAATAATAATAATAATAATAAATGTGTGAATTATGTGAATTTTCAGTATAATAGAAAATATTTACTCATAATTCACAAATGTAAACTTTTTGTAAATTTCCAGTTACTGATTACAGTTTACACATTATACACAAAACATTTAAAAATATAAATATGACATTATTATTTAAAACAAACAACATAATTTCAAATATTTATAATTTGATATAAATCGAGTATACAACTTACTCATAATTCACAAAATAATATCAAATGTCAGTTGTTTTATGAATTTTCTGTATAAATTGCACATAAAATTTAGTCATAATTCACAAAAATAAATAATAATATCAAATATTTATATTTTGTGAATTTCCAGTGTTAATTGATTATACAGTTTACACATCATACACAACATATCTAAAACTATAAATATGATACTATTATTTAAAACAATTTAATAATAATAATATAAAAGATTTGTACTTTTCGGTATAAATTAAGTATACTCAATTCCCAAAATAAAAATATATTTTTCATGAATTTTCTGTGTAAATTGTATACACAATTTACACTCATAATTCACAAAAATCAATAATACAGAGAATATCAAATATTTATAAAATATATGACATTATTATCTAAAATAATAATACAATGATAATAATAATATAAAATACATATGCTTTTCAGTATAAATTGAGTAAACAATTTACCAATAATAATACCAAATATTTGCAGCATATATTGTAGTATATAACTTATAGGAAAAATAACGTATAAAAAATATAGCTCTCAAATCTCAACAAAGATCCTGTGTGAATAGGCAGAGTGAGATTTCAGAGCTAGGGCAACAGAAAGACTTTAGTCTTGTCGTAAGGCTTCAGAAGACTCAAAATCATACAGACTACCTTTAATCATTTTGGAGTTTGACATCATATGTCCCAAATGGCTTCAAAGAGCGCCCAGGATATTTTTCAAAATTTCTTATTTGGCGTCCCACAAGAATAACAACAGCATTGGGGTTTGGAAGGACATGAAGGTGAATAAACGAAGGCCGAATTGTCATTTTTCAGCGAAGCTCTCCTTTAATCAGAGCCAATAAAAATCTTAATTCTGTCTCAGAGGGACATGAAACTCAATTTTCCAAAGTGTCACCAAAGCAAAAGCAGGGCCCTTTTCTTCAATAAACACATCCCGGCGTAAAATTTCCTGCTGTTTTCGCCCCCTCTGTTGGATGAAAGATAAAGCTTTTGCTTTGACTGGTGAAGGCAGATGGTCGCCATACTGGGCAAAACGAATTCAGATGTGGCAAATGAATCAAGATTACTTCAACATGCAAAAGGCTTTGAAAGAACAGAAAAGGGAGCCATTCTATTTATTGCATTTTCCTCTGTGCAATTAAATAGTCAGGACTTTTATGTAGCTTCCACGTCTTTTTTGTCATTTCAACAGACGCCTAGTTAATTTACTCATTTAGTCGCGGGCACGAGATTTGTGTCTTCGGCGATTTTGCCAAGAGCAGTAGTCCTACAGCGTGTAAATACGGATGAATCTCGGTGACCTAAAATTAATTGAGGAAGGACGCTTTTACTAGAGCCCACAAATATCAGCATTCAAAGACCTCCAACATATTTATTTCTTCTTTATCCAAGACATCCAACCTTCCACCACATGCTGTTTCAGTATATATTCAACTATATTTTTCATTAATTACAATTACCCCAACTCAGCTGTCTCATAAATTTACAGACCATCATCATAACTGGGGGAAAATCAGAAACATATTTGGCGCTCGCAGTCACCGAAGAAGGAAATGTAACTTAATAGCGCGTCTTTCTCGAGGCCCTAATGAAGTGGCAAATGCGATTCAGAGCCATTGGATGTTTTATTTCCCTCCTACGTCCTCGCCACACACAGCAGCGTCTGTCTGCGTCTGCACAAGACCTGCAATCATGCGAAATCCATTTCTCTCACACCGAAACGTGTAGATTAAAGGCTATTGGACGTGTACTTGGACAGGAAGGAGGAGGAGAAATGGCTCAAACGTTCGGGGGAAGTCGTGGCCTAATGGTTAGAGAGTCGGACTCATAACTCAAAGGTTGCGGGTTCGAGTCTCGTACCGGCAGAGATTGTAGGTGTGGGGAGTGAATGTACAGCGCTCTCTCCCACCTTCAATACCACGACTGAGGTGCCCTTGAGCAAGGCACCGAACCCCCAACTGCTACCCGGGCACCGCAGCAAAAAATGGCTGCCCACTGCTCCGGGTGTGTGTTCACGGTGTGTGTGTGCACTTTGAATGGGATAAATGCAGAGCACTAATTCCGAGTATGGGTCACCATACTTGGCCACATGTCACGTCACTCACTCACTTAAATCTCCATCATCTGTGTCTCTGTGTGTGTGTGTGTGTGTGTGTGTGTGTAGTTTCCACAGAGTCAGACTTCATGTCGAGAGCTGACATCACTCTTCCTACAGTCTTTCAAACAGCCAAGGTTTTACAAACAATACACATGAGGGAAAGTCAGGCTAGAAACAAGAGTGGGGATGTGATTTTTTCCAGAATAAAACACAGAATTGACTGTGGAGGAAGAATAGAGCATGAAACCTCAACTAATACAGGCACAGGGGACTTTAGAATAATTAATTATGATTTAGCACAATCAATTTGCATACTTAATAAGCATTCCGCTAAAAGCGAGCTCATTTCGTCTTAGCATGCTGTTATAACGAGCTGTCAAAAAGCTATTTACTAAAACAAACAACTTCATTTCAGAGAATCCAAACTGCTAAAAGTATTTCAAATAGCATGTTTCAACGTTATAAAAGACATAATGATGTTTGTAAAACACACATTATGAAATATAAACATAAACAGTGACTCGAACCGAACAAACAGAACCTTTCGAGTCTCGCTTTCGCTTGACGTTCCGACTAAATAAACAAATGGCCAGAACTGAATTTTAACTTCACAGGTTTAAGTAACTGAACATTTTTACCTTACGTTATGAATTATTCAATCCATCCACATGTGCTCTTTCAAACTGCAAGGCACTTGTCTCTGATGTAAACACACTGGTCAGCGCGTGTCTATTTGGCGTCACGCGGGTCTGCCAGGGATTATGGGTAATGGAGTTTTTAACGGTTATATAACGCAATAGCCTGCGGTGGCAAGCGAACGCTACTGTAGTTCTGCGTTTGCCCTCGTCGCATAATAAAAGACGAATTTAAACGTTAACGAGCGCCACCAAAAGAGCTTTTCAGATTCATACGCTTAAAAAACATTTAAAAAAAAATGATAACAAAACATGAATAGCCTCTAAAAAATATTAACATAACTTAGGCTAACTGCGTTTTCAAAAAAAAAAATCACTAGAAAATATTAATGACTTAAATGATTATTTTGTACTTTATTATTAATAATAGGCTATTAATATCGTTTTTATCTTTAACTGTTATTGCCTGACCTGTAGTATTAATTTTCCTTTCTTGCATAGCCTGTTAAAATTAAAAAAATTACGAACCCAAAAATATATGTTTAAAATAAGCAATATGCATATTAAATATCAACAAAGGGCCATTGAAAAAAAACATCCTAATTTAGTTCCATATATATGAATGTTGTTGTCGTGGCTTAATTCTGTGCTGCTGTTGTTGTTGTCTGATCTTTTGTATAATATTAACTTTAGCCCGGGCTCTTTATCTGTCTTTAGAAATAGGAAATGAGTCACTTCTCTTCTGTGCTTGTTTGCTTTTTGTCTGGCTTGAATGAGTTGTGTTTATGTCTCTTTATGAGCCTTTATGTCTCTCAGTATTAGCGAACAGTCAAAGAAAACTCTTCACCCCGTTGCCATAATAATCCATCAAATGTTAAATCATTTGCTTCATGTTTTTAAAATGTGTCTTTTATACCCTTGCTGAACTCGAAACATCTTTAAATCACACCCGTGCTGCTGTAGCTGTATTGTCACTGTGTAATAATATTCGCTGCATTGCTTTGGTAAGAGGAGAATGAACTGCTCATTTATTTTGATGCCACGAAATGGTGCTTGGAGACATGACGTGCTCAAGACTCATCAGCATAATAATCCTCCTGCTTCTGCATATATATAAATAAACCACAAAAAACCTGAGCTCACCCAAGTCCCTGCCTCCTAAGACAAACCACACAACGAGACAAAACACTGCGGCTTTCCATCTTTCTAACCACAACCTTTGGAGTCACCTTTTTAACCCTTCACAAAGACTCTGCATGGAGAAAGAAAGGTCTTAAGGACTTTTGCAAACCTCTTAACTTTCTTTTTAACTTCGCATACGGTGGCGCGTTTTGAGAAGCGCGTTGAAGCGAACTCTCTCCGAGCGAGCGCCGCGCGTAATGCGAAGCGACTCGCTTTTAATCCGGATTTTGAAGTTCGTTACAGCAAAGGAGAAGCAAAATCGCCTCGTGAACTATGTCGGTGTTTCTTCAGAGCGTAGCCAGGAGCTCCCGCGCGTTTCTTTCCACGCGCTTCACCTGTAGAGCTCGCGCGTAAAGCCTGAGGGGAACCGAACTTATCCAACTTTCTCGCTTTCGGGAAAGCGCCAAACGGACTTTACGTAGATAGATCCCATCTATTCTGAATCGAAAACTCAGAGTTTGGTGTCGGTTTGAAGTGCCCTTACCTTTGCTGACACTGTTGTGATGCGCATTCCGGTAGATCCGAGCACCAGCCGCAGGTTCAGTCCGCCGTCCAGCAGCCTTCAGCCGGTGGCGGGGAAGATGAGCGATGCGCAGCAGGAGCAGAACGCGGCGCTGCCGAGACTCCGACAGCACGACAACCGGACGATGGTGGAGATCATCGCGGACCACCCCGCCGAGCTCGTGCGGACGGACAGCCCCAACTTTCTGTGCTCAGTGCTGCCGTCTCACTGGAGGTGCAACAAAACTCTCCCGGTGGCGTTCAAGGTCAGAAATCATCCGTTTATTAAGATGTGATTAACAGACCAGTATTTAGTTCATATGGTTCAGCTTTATGATAGATTTCTAGCTATTTGCATGGGCATTAACTAGCGTTCTGTTCAGTCTGACATGAATATTTTAATAGATCAGTACACTTTTTACATTCGTATATGAATATTTTTTTATTAGCCTATTAAACCAGGTAATTATTGGTCCCAATCAGATTGAAATCTCTTTTACAAGATCCAGACAGCATTAAAAATACATACACAACATTGCACAAAAACACACTTTAATATGAGAAGGAAAGAACACGCAATCATTTAGAATAGTTTCAATAAACGTTTCTAACTGATTATGTACTGTAAATGTTTCAGGACAGTTTGCATGAAAGGTTACATATAGATCTCATTTCTAATCAAACTTTTATCACACTTTTAACCAAAATATCTGTGCAGGTTTTTCCCCAATTGTATTGACTTATACTATATATATAAGATTATTTATAGTGTTTTACTAGTGTTTCTTTTCCACGTTTTCCATGTGCTTTATTAATAATAGTAGTTTTTTATTATTAATATTCACATGTTCAGATCAGATGATTTTTGTTTGTTTGTTTTTGTTTTTATGGGAGTTACTGATGTTTAAAGTGAGGAATCCTGCAGTGCTGGAGAGAGAGAAGTGAAATCTGAGAGATTTAAAGCTATTCATAGATACAAACACATGCATGTTTAATCACACGGCCTAAATTACACACAACTATTAATACTTTGACCAAAGATAGAGTATTTCATACAAACAGACTGCGTGTAAAGTATCTGTAACAGGAACTGTTTCGCTCGGGCTTCTTCTGTAAGCATACTTTTGTTCATTTATTTGAGCTTGTGAAGCTGAACCAGCACCCCCTGCTCACACTGAACATCAAAACATTCCCCTCAATTAAATGTCATTTTTGCAATTTTTATCAAGTAAGATTTAGTTGCTGCATCATTCGCATTATGTAGCTAAATCCAAGTTTCAAAAAAGAAAAAGAAAAAAGGCAAGAAATAGCCTTCGGATTAAAACATTAGTGCATTTAAGAAAAAAGCATCTATATCATCAACTAAATGTTTTTTCATATTTATTTTAAATTTCATTACGCTTACATTTCAATACAATTAGAATATTTTTTACAATATATTTTTTTAATAATATGTATTTTTCTGTTGAATAAATTTGCTTTAGATTTTTTTTTTTTTGCTGAATCACTAGTGATGTTTAAGTATTGGTGTATTTGAGTTGTACTGACATCACCAGATGTTTCTGACCAATTTAAGTGGAATTTCTTACATACACAATTTAAAAGGTCACATTTAAGAACAATCTAGCTTTTGTTTCTAGCAGGTTTTAATTGATTTATGGTGTTATTAACCCCCTGAGGCCGGCAGTCTCGCTTCATAATGTCATTTATAATCAGTATCACAGGCCTGTTTTCATCAGTCTATGAATAAACAGTCAGACTGCAGTGAAATGCAGGGTAAATTACAGCGGGACAGTCACAGTGTGTCCATTTCTGTTCAGGTTGTTGCTCTGGGAGATGTTCCTGACGCGACGGTGGTGACAGTTATGGCAGGAAATGACGAGAACTACTCGGGAGAGCTGCGAAACGCCTCAGCTGTCATGAAGAATCAGGTGGCACGTTTCAACGACCTGAGATTTGTTGGCAGGAGTGGAAGAGGTTGGTACTTCCACTTTAATTCTATTTATTCTTCGCTGGCCGCTTCGTTTGCTTTGGCTTAATCATACAAAAGGGTCAAATCACGCAAGATGTTTCGTTTACAATAAATGACATGTTGGAAATAAAATTTCGGCATGCAGTGCACAAGCCAAATGGACTGAAAGTCGAGTTTTACCACAAATAGTCCGGTAAAATAGATCGATTATAATTTAAGACATGGCTTCTGTGTAGCCTTTTTTTTTTTTTTTAAATGCAAATTATACATTGCATGTTTTACATGAACACAATAGGACACTGTCCAAGATTCCTCACTTACAGAAATATTGAAAAGAAAGAGCTGCAGAATTGGAAGAGATTCACAGAAAGGCGTTATTATTTTCCATCAGCGTCCAACAATTTGAGCGCTTCCATGTTGAGAATAAAGAAAAAGGGTGCTTTCCAAAAAAGACTGTCATTTAAGTATTCCCAAAGCTTAAAAAGTGAAACAAGACTTATAACTGTAGCAAAATATTGCATTCACTGCCATTTCCTATCTAATACTTTTCTGTTACATCCACCCTACACACCCCCAAAAAAACTAAAAAGTCTTTAAGACGTGAACTCGGGCTCAAAGTGCTCACAGACTGCTTATGTGTGGATGAATGCTGCTTTTGATATGCTTGCAATTATTGTCAGAGACAAAGTCCCGCTCTTGTGATCCTGTCGGAAGAAGGCATTGAGAGCGCAGGTCTTTGAAGCGTCTGGGACAGGCAGTGAGATCAGAGGAGCGGTAAACTCGGGCGTGCGGTCTAGACTTGCCCTTATAATCCACACGGGCACTTAAAGTGAGGCACGGACGTGTGCAGCAGGGAATCCCTCGCATGGCGCCCACAAACTACAGACTCAAAACATTCAAAAACAGCTCCAGGTGTTTGGGGAAGTGCGCTCGACCTATATGGGCTTCTCGATGGCTGATGGCTGATACAGTATGTGATAACGTTGTCTGATATTTGGTTATTTTGAGATTTATTACTACTAACAGAAATGGTCATTCTGCCAGTGTTAATTCCAACATCTAAAAAGAAAAGATATAAATATATAATAATAGTGCATTTTGAGTAAATAAAGTGTAAAATATTTTTAATTTTTATTCAAAAATTTTATTTTCTAAATCATTATTATATACAATTATTAAACTGCATTGGGCAATTCAATTTGTATTATTATTTTAAATTAATATTTCAGATAGATATTTTGAGATATAAATATAAAAATATATTTTATTATAATATATAACATTTAAAATTAATATATAAAATGTATTGAAATGTGTGTATATATATATATATATATATATATATATATATATAATGCATACTTGATATTATATTATATATTATATTATATTTTATATTGGTCATCAGCTATCCTGTTTTGAAAATATTGTTATTGTTATGAGCTTTGGCCAGTAAAAAGAACAAGTAAATCAGTTAACCACTACTTTACACAATAAATAACTAAATTACACTAAATGCACAAAAAATATTTGAAAAAGATTTTTTTATCATCCATTGACAAGGCTGCTGATAGATTTTGGAACAATTATGAGGGGGAAAAAAACAGTTAATCGGCCATCTGGACCTGAATATGCCAATAATCCGCCCTATAAATCAGTCTAGTGCAATTTTTTAGGTCTGTGGTTTCATTTGCTGGCGTATGGGTTATCAGTCGGAGTGGCTGTGCAGAAGGTGGTTTTCTGACCGGTCGCTGGTCTCAGCGCATTCCTGCAGCAATGCATGTCGTCACACACCCTCAACACGCTATCAGTGTGCATGTGTGCGCATCCGTGTTATCTCCTCACAGCTGTCACAGTCAACAGGGCCTTGGCCCGCATGGAGACCCACACCTTCGCAGGCTTAAGTTTCTTCTATCTATGACACGGGATCTGGAAGAGGAAGTCAGGGAGGAGATAGCGCAGCATAAGGAAATTAAATATGGAAAACGATACGAGGCGCGATGTGGAAGATTAGAATAAGATCGACCACAATCAAACAAATGACATCATAAAAAATAAGCCGCCTCGAGTTACTAAAAGCAACTGCGTTTCCTGAGACAAAACACTTGATTTATACAGAAACGCTTTTGTGTTTTCAGAAGTACTGCACCCTTATTTATGAATGGATTTGGATATGCTGCTTAGGTTAGGACAGGGCGGGATGTTTGTTGTTGATCAGGACTTTATGTATTTCACATGCAGTCTGTCTCGTTCTGTTTAGGAAATCATTTCGAACAGAAAAACCCTTCTGAATGAGCCAGCGTTTAGGATATTTTTAGCAGCTGGACAGCAACCGTTGGATGGATGGCAGATGCCAGGGTTGGTTAGTAGTGTGTGTTTGGTATCAGCTCGCTGGGACGGGCTTGGGTGGGTCTGCGAACGTGCTTTTGGGGGCTCATGGACGGATTCCTGTGGGAGAAAAGAAAAACCAATTACTTTAGCAAGACTTATTGCATAACATGCACAAGAATATCAGGAAACCAAAATGTGGGAGTTCTAGAAAAAGCATGCAAATGAGAAATGCATGACTATTTATTCTAGAAAATGTGTTTTGCTTAATTAATTATATGTTCAATTAATGTTAGAAAGAGTAATTTTGCAAGACTCATTGCATACGGTTAACTGGAATGTCAGTCAATCAAAAATATTACAGTTCTAGAAAATACTTGTGTATATGAGAAATGCATGACTTTTTCTTTAAAATGTTATTAAATAGAAAGACTAATTACTTTAGCCAGACTTATTGTATAACATTTACAAGAATGTCGGCAAATCAAAAACTGTGGCAGATCTCCAAAATGTTATGTAATGAATTATATATTCAATTAATAATAGAAAGAGTAATTAATTTAGCCAGACTTATTGCATAACATGCACAAGAATATCAGGAAACCAAAAATGTGGGAGTTCTAGAAAAAGTATGCATATGAAAAATAAAATAAATAAAATATGCTGTTTAATTCATTCTGTGTTCAATTACAGTTAATTACTGTAGTAAGACCTTATTTTCTAAAGTTAAAAATAGCTGTAAATCAAAAATGCTGCAAGACAACATATGAGAAATGCATGACTGTTTATTCTAAAATATGCTGCTTAATTCATTATATGCTCAATTTATGTCAAAAATATTACAGTTCTAGAAAATACTTGTGAATATGAGAAATGCATGACTTTTTCTTTAAAATGTTATTAAATAGAAAGACTAATTACTTTAGCCAGACTTATTGTATAACATTTACAAGAATGTCGGCAAATCAAAAACTGTGGCAGATCTCCAAAATGTTATGTAATGAATTATATATTCAATTAATAATAGAAAGAGTAATTAATTTAGCCAGACTTATTGCATAACATGCACAAGAATATCAGGAAACCAAAAATGTGGGAGTTCTAGAAAAAGTATGCATATGAAAAATAAAATAAATAAAATATGCTGTTTAATTCATTCTGTGTTCAATTACAGTTAATTACTGTAGTAAGACCTTATTTTCTAAAGTTAAAAATACCTGTA